AAACATTCATGTTTTCTAAATAAAGACAAAATATACTTTCCCACAGCCTTAGCTAAGAAATAGGCGAATATATTCAAACATCCGTGCTTTCTAGATAAAAGGTATAGTGGATAAAATTCTTTCAGTTTTTAGTTTTGGGGCGGACATCTTTTCCATTGTCATTATTTACCTACTTTTATCACCTATTCTGTATAAAATTGAAATTTACAAGTACTAATATCTACATAAATTGATTATTTAATAATTTATTAAAATAGTCATTTATCTATGATTTCACTGAAGACTCCTAGTTGACTTGCAAAACACAAAATCTATTTCTGCTTTAATTCTGTATTTATCATCTTTAATGTTACTATATTGATGTGCATAATTAACCACAGTGTTTTTGTTGTCAAGTACTGTAATTGTTAATATATGAAAAATCAAATTAAGTCTGTATTAGAGGGAAATAAATGGTAGGGGTCGTCAATGATTGGGTAAGGGTGGCCATAGCCATCCCTGGCCCCCCATCTAGCTCCGCCCCTGATCTGAACCCATTGAGAGCTTTCTCTGAGCTTTCGTAATTAAGTCGAAATGGGTTCTGATAAAACTATAAAAGAGTCAAGTGGTAATTACCAGATATTTTATATGAATTAAACATCTATAAACCATTGACAAATTATCAAAATCAAATCAGTCTTAATATTCAGTGAAGTTAATTTTACCTGAAGGCGAATTTATAATCCATCTACATGGTCAAAGCTGCACTTTAAACAAAGACATTTATATAATTTTTTTATGGTTGGTACAAATACTGAAATAAATCAACAGAGATACATACAACAGAGCATTCATTTTAAATCTAAAGGAAAATAATAATGCTGCTAGCTTCTAATTGAAAACAGATGATCAGCAGAGCATCAACTGCATAGCAGTGATAAGAAATGTCCCTACAAAGTTCAAAATGTGGAAGAAGGTTTAACAGAAAGTATAGTGCTCTAAAACAGAGCCTTGCAGGACACCAAAGGGAAGAGAAGTGAATTAATAATGTTTAAACAAAAGATAAAAAAGATGAGGAAAAGCAAGGAAAAAGTTTAAAATATAAGTTCAACAACAGTATGTTCCTCAAACTCCAAAAAACAGCTTCAGAAGATTTTATGTTGGTAGGAAGATAAAGAATATATTTTTAAAAGAGCATCACTTAAGCCCCCGTGGTTTTACAGTATGTGTTTGTGAGGCTTCTTCACTGATGAGCCAAACCTGTTTGGGTCAGTAGGACAATTTGGCACTGAGGAAGTTTAAAGTTTAGATTTGTCCAAATGGATCACAGGATTCTCACTTTTCGAATCCAGTTAATTAAAAATAATATTGTATTATTTTCCTCTATTGAATAATCCACACAGTGAAAGGATCAATTTTTATCTCACAAAGAAAATAACAACACAATGTACAAAGCTAATCATTCATTTGTTTGGTTTTTTTTCTTAGAAGCCAGATTTTCTTATCCCGATTATGTTTTAAAATTGGATTCATGGGAGCAGAAAATGCACAATATAGGTCTGAGTTAATGTTGCTGTAGGAGTTTCATCCATAGACTCCTATAATGTTAAGTAACCCAGCATTGCCTTCCAAAGATATTAACACACCCTGAACCTTTACAGTCTTATTCATTAAAACCAGATTTCACTATTTTATTGGGATTGTAAGGAAGGAAAACAATGCATAATGTTACAATAATTTAACAGTATAATTGAAAGGAGCATATTATTATAGTTTGTATTTTATTACGTTGCCCTATAGAATAGTAAGGACTGGTATTTGACTGGGCCACTCGGACACAGGAATATGATTTGAGAGTCCATCATAGATCTGGCTGTGTTTAGCGCTGATATCCTGCTGGAAGTTGAACATCTGTTTACATTTCAAGTCTTTTGCAACCATGGAGCCATGAAAAAGGTTTTAACTCTGACCAGCATCTCTGTCCTCTCTAATGTAGTGTTCCACACATCATGAGGCTGCCACCACCATGTTTCACACTAGGGAGAATGGAGTAGTTTCTTATAACCACACACAGGACTTTGACCCCTTTATTTTGCCATTATTATACTATTTGGACCATATTGTTCTAAACCACTAAGAGAAAAGCTGAATCATACTTAGAATAAATGAGACACAGGAAAGCCTGATTTCTGGATTTTTATAAAACATTTCAACTAAAGGGGTCCAAATAAAAACTTTTCCTTCTAAAATAAATTCACATAGCATGAATTCACTATACATGTTGGGTAAAAAGTTTTTAATCTAAGGAAACCTACCACTTGACTTTCAGATTTCTCTCCTGAATGGGCATCTAACAATTGCAAAATTTTTTAAAAGAAAAACTTTGTGCAGGTCTGTTAAATAAAACCACAGATAAAACTATGTTAAAGGTTGTGGTTTTGTTGTGACTTATTTTAAAGGCTAAGAGGCTTGACTGCTTTTTAAAGCATTCCTCCATGAGTGTCTGTAGTCTCTTACTGCCAGTAGACCCTGCTGTAAGGACGCCCAGCTCTGGACTGCAGAGGCTATAAATAGTTGAGGCTGGCTTTCTCTAGGCAACACCCATAATACTGTATCTGCGACAGGACAGCAGGATACGTCACTGCTCCACTCTGAATCCTCTACCACCTTCACACACAGCTAAAATTCTCTACTCAGATCTCAGGAACAAAAAGTTATTTCCAACAAAGTGCTCCAAATATTACCTGGTAAAACATCTCTTCTCGTCATAACTGGTTAATACATAAGTGCAAGACATGTAAAACTTATAACATCGTAAATGACATCCTCATTCCTCATATTTCCCTCCCAGAATGTTCCATTATCGGCTTATGTTGATTTGAATCATTTTTTAATTGTTTTTTTAAACCCTTCCAACATTTCCTTGATAGTTTTGCTGCATTTTTCCTTTTTTCTTATGAAAAGAGTCTCTTCTTTCAGTTAGCCATTACTACCGGTATATGGGGTATAGTAAGCTATAAGCAAAAATCCCTGTAGACCTTTGTCACATTTTTGGAGTTGGAAACAAAATTTAGTGTTAATTTGCAAAACACAGTTTTCTGTTTTTCAAAAATAATCGGCTTCAATCTAAATCACAAAAACTACATTAAGCTAGAGTAAAAAGCAAGGAGTGCAAAAGCAAAACTCACCCTAAAATAAACCATTTTTGCATTTGTATAAATCAAAAGTGACTATTGCAGTTTAATTTCGCCATCAGTGAAATGGTAGATGCTGGAACACACCTTCATCACTCCTATTATCATCAGTTGGTCGGTTTGGGTATCAAAAGTCACATAGATGCACACATTTTATAGTGAATCATCTGCCTCTAATGACAACGACCGCTTAGGTCTGGGGAGGATTTATTTATTTTTTTTGTTTGGTTTATTTTGTTTCCTAGCTTACATCCATCATGGACGACACCTTCCACACTCTGCACCAGACTGTAGAGGAGCTGAGCAGCTCCTTTAGTGAAAGAGTTTTAAACCCTGTTTGTAAAAAGGAGAGAGAGCTACCGCAGGTCATTCATCCCTGCTGCCACCAGACTCTACAATGCGGCACTATAAACACAATAACTTGTGCAATGACTAGTGTGCAATCACAATATATATATATATATATATATATTTATATATATATATACAGCAGAGGTCTCTTAATGTGGTGGTGAGGACCCACTGGTGAGACGCAGATATACTGCAGGACAATTTAAAATTGACTGTATTTTATCATAAATAAATCAGGCGCAGAAAAACCTGCAATATCGCTTTAACTGGAAACAAATATGTTGAAGAGTTACCTTTGCATTTGTACCAAAGCTCTGCTTTAAAAGTTGATAACTGGAGATTCTTGGTTTAATTTATTGTATATCTTCAGGTGGAAATTAGCTCCAGTCTTCCCAGTTGAAATTTTAGTTGTCATTAACCCAACTGCCATTTTAAATATGCTGTAATCTTCATTTAGTTAAAAAAAAAAAAAAAAGACGTTCATACTATATATTTTCAGGTGATTCCTTTAAGGATTATTTGCAAAAACAAAAACTGGGTTTTAATTATATGAATTAAATAAGCTACATGGTTTTGGGTAAAATATACATGGGATGCAGAGCAGGACCGGGTGACCACCGTGGTTGGTCTATGGGGAGAAACGCAGCGTACCAGATGAGATATGCACATGTTCAGAGGTCTTAAATCTAAATATGTAGAAAAAAAGTATAAAAAACTATTTGGTAAAAAACCTAGCAGAATATTGAGTAACTGATCATATCTTAACTAATTTTAAAGGAAATATTTAATCAAACAAACATAAAATTGGTGGAAAATTCTGGTATCGTAAAGACCCAAATAGAAAATATACAAACTCATGCATAAGAAATCCTTTTCTGAAAATTTTTTTCAATATCATATTTAAATCCTTTGATTTTTGACATAAGGTAGAATCACAAATTATTTAATATATCAAATAATACATTAATACAGTCCAGATTAAAGTTGCCTGGACTGTCCCCTACTGCAGCTAAGATACTGACTGCATATTCTCTCCAGATCTCCCCACCTTAAGCTGAAGTAGCACAAACTCAGTTTTTATTTTTAAACATTTCAGTTTGAGGAATGAGGTTGTCAAAAACTAAAGTTTTTTGTGAATTATCACCCATATTATAACTGATTTATCAATCAAAAGGATAAAGTGGGAAAATGATGCAGCAGCATATTTTTTAATGGGTTATTGCAAGAACCAAGTTCTTTACGTCTGATTTTAACTGTATTTCTTATTTAATGGAAACACTGCAAATGTGACATTGTTTTTGTTTTCTTTCAACATTATAAAAATATGGATACATTCTGTGGAGATTAGTAATGGAAACCCAACTATTCATTAATTAGCTTTTAGCTTCTACAACAAAAAAAGCACTTTTTTTTATTTAATGTGGGAGAGAAAACAATGAATGATATGCGAGCAGAAACCACATTCCCTCGTCGTTCTGTATTAATGAATCAAAGTATTTATTTCAAAAATTGGAAAAATAAAAACACACCCACCAACATTGGTTTAGTAGAATATCATACAAAGACATATTTCCACGTTGCTATGTGAATATCTGTCTCTGACTACAGTATGAGGCAGTTTGAAAAAGGCTGGCTGAGCTGCTGGAACTACAGACACAAACCTGGAAGATGAAGGAACCAAAGGAATCAAATAAAATAGATTCACGAAAAGCTTCTGAGCAAAGAAATAAAGGGATAAAAGTTGTGTGCACTTTACCTTTCAAGACACTTGAGACGCCGCTGTAATGAGATTTCTTCCTCTTTATATGGACTAAGCTGTGTTTTAAATTAGAGTCAGCTAACAGCTGAGCTAAAGTTGTGATTAAATACAACTTAGAAACTAACAGTACAGTGAATGATGCTCGCTTTAACCTGTTTGGAGCAGCAGATGGGAACAGAAGTCTGTATAACAACCTCACCATTATCTCTATATGAAAAAAAGAGCTAAATCTAACCCAGCAGCATTTGTTTTAAAAAAAACAAAACAAAAAACAGCATCAAAACCAGGTGAGGCTGAGCGTTAAGACACAGAATCGTCAGCAGTGTGAACACACAGAAGGTAAGAAGGTGTTTGCTTAAACAAGACGGTAAAACAGAAAAGCCTGCTCATCTTAGAGAGTCCAGCCAGTTTAGAGTCACTTCATCAGGAAATGATTGGGAGGCGTGAGGCTTTCAGGTCCATCGAATCTTTAGATGGAGGGAGGCAACAGAAAGAAAAAGAAAACAGTTCTTTGAAGCAGATTGCTTGCAGTTTTAGCACACAGCATGGTGGTCTTAGCGAGTCTGAATCCACTGGAATCGGGTCCTGAATGGTCATGGGATGAACTTTTGTGCATGTACTTCTGAGACGGTAATAAAACATTTAAAACAGAGGCTCGCTTCTTTAATTCCTCTGAGCGATCAGGAAAATTCCTGCAGACAGGCTTAGAACCGATGTGTTGAGATGATAATAAGATATCAAACTTCTCATCGCTCTGTTTTATAAATAAATCGTAAAAAGGAAAGAAAAAAAAAGTACAAACGATTGTGTTGTTAGTGTTTTTTTGCGGCAACCACTTCAGACCAAGCAACCCTTCATAATGCTGACTGCTTTCATCTGGTAAAAGGACAAGAAAATTTAGTGGAGGGTGTTTTTTTTTTTTTTCTTTTTAGGTTAACAGTCACGGTCGTTACAATGGCGAGGACGTGAAAGGCAGAAAGTCCGAGGGCAGGCCTCCGGCGTGGAGGCCGTACGGACTTAAAAAGGTGATTAACTCACAGTGAGAACAGAATAGGAAGAGACTGGAACGGAGCCGCGCGGCTCCTCTATCTGAATCAGACACTGATGAACAGAGAGGAGACGCAGCAGCTGAGGAGGAGGAGCAGCCGCTGATCCACTCCCACCTTGTGCTCGTATTACATCCTCTGTGACTCCCCGCGGTCAATAAAACGGGGAGACGGAAAACTTGGGTCGCTGCGGCGGATTCTGTCTGGATGGAACGGCACATCCACAGACGGAGGGCAGGCGTGTGAGGAGCGGGGATTTCAAAAAAAGAAGCACCTTTTCTTCGGCTTGGATATAAACAAGCAGATAAATGTGAACGGATGGGAGGAAAAGACGGAGAATGATGTCTATAAATAAACGGAGGCGGAGGAAATCAGGTCTATGAGAGGAGGAAGACGAGGGTTTCATCCCGTGCCTGTACAGGAGGAAGAGGAGACACGTTATGTTAAGGAATCTTTACTGGAATGTGGTTCCGCATGAGAGCTTTATAGGAGACATCCTCACCTTCCCCTTCCTCGCCCCAGCCCTCTGCTACACCAGCGAGCTCGTAATGCTTCTTCCTCAGCTCCCCAAGACGCTTCCGCTCCTTCTGCAGACGGGTCTCCAGCTCCAGAACCATAACCTGAATAAAAACAGTTTGGTTTATTTTTTTAACAACATCAGCCCTATGAAAAACTTTTTGTTTCTTACAGATTTTCTCCTTTTAGAATGTTAGGATAAATATATTTGATTATTAAATAATTAGAGTAAATATAAAGGGCTTTTGACAAAATATAAGAACTAGATAGAGTGCTTCTAACTCCTTTTTTGCTTTAATATCTGTATCAAAACATCAATTAATAAATATAAGACAGGGAACTGCAATAATTCTGTTACTTAAGCGTTTGCGTCTTACATTTCTGCGTAAACTTTAGCTTTGCTTAGTTTTTTTCTTAATGTTTACAATGTCTGAATACATTTAAATAAATTAATGAAATGAAAATTAAGCAACACTGAGGAACGCCAGGATTCCTGCTGAATCATGGCCTTTCTGCAGGTTACCTGAGCATCCATCTCCTGCCTCTTGATCTGGGTCAGAGTCATGCTGGAGAAGTCCATCGTTTCTGGTCAAACAGAAACAAATTAAAGCTAGACATTTTCCCACCACCGTGTGACATTCCTTTACAAAATGGCTCGAGAAGTGAAAACATGCGAGTTCACCACGGCATCTTTACGAGGACGCCACACTCACCTGTTTCTTCGATCTGGGATTTCCCAGACTTTGTGGAGGCCACGACAGCGGCGGTTGCCTGGGTGACCCCGCGGGACGCCTGCTGCAGGCGCTGCAGGTTGGAGCTGTCTTTATCTGCTTTTACCTAAAAGAAAGGTACATAATAAAAAAAACATCTAGCATATAAAGATGGAAACAATCCTAATGGATCAGAGAAAAAAATAACATGGGTGATAGGGGTTGATTATTTACCTTGGAAGCAGCCACTAGCTGTGCAGTGCTGGCTGCTATTTCATGTGAACACACCATCAGCTCTTCAAACTTTCCTTTTCCCTGAACCACCATGTCGGCAGCATCACTGGAAGCCAGAAAAAAAAAAAAAGTGTGAAAAATTTGCTCTAGACGAACCCGATTACACTTTAAAACCACTTTGGTTAGAAAAAGAAAGTGTTTCATTGTACATTATATGGTGATCTGCACGTTTTGGTCACAAAACAGCCCACACTACCCACTCCCACTCCAGTCAGAACAGACAGAAGCCTTTTCATACTTACACCATGACTGTAGCGCCCCATCCAACCGCCTTGGAGGCAGAGATCAGGCCCTCAGTCCAGCGGGAATTCTTAGCATAAAATTCCTTCATGGAGGATGCCCCCTGGTGGACACAGAAGCAAATGCAGCTTTTAAGTTAACTCATAGGCAAAGGGGCTATATTGCTTCAATTAAATCAAAATAAGCCATTGAGGAATTTAATATAATAAGAGTCTAAACTATGAGATTTTACCTTTTGCTTGCATTTAATATTTGATCCAAAACTCAACTTTGCCAAACTATTATCAGGGTTTTCAACAATTTCATAAAACTGTACATTTCATAAGAAAATATAGATTTAGTTTATTGGCTATACCACACAGCTCCATTTGATGACGTGCATTTCATAATTTAAGGTAGCAGCTCCCGAATCTGTTTCAGGGTCATTAGAGTTTTTGTGACAGTTGAATAAAAAAAAAAACTGAAGTAAATTACATATTTAACAAAAACAATGTAAGCTTAAAAAAGTTTAATTATTTTAAATTTGTTTGTTTTCCCAAGAATTAAAATTCAACGTCCCTGTCAATACCTCTCTTTACCTCACATGTAGGTTAAGTTGTTTCTTTAACAAACAGAAATTTTCTTAAACTACATTCAGACCCGCATGTCCAGTTTACAATCCAAGCTGGGTGGTCCTTTTTTGGATTTTACAATAAGCGGTTCTCTTAGCGACATAGTGAAAAGTTGGATCAAAACCTAAGGTCTGATCGAATCAATATTTTTAAGGTCATTAATATACAAATCCATATAGAACGCATTTTGCCTGTTCAGAAATGCAGATCCCTTCTCAGTAGAACAAAAACATTTCCATACTTGATTTTTTTCCCATTTTCAAAAAAAAAAAAAACATGCTTGGAAAAGGATAAAACTATGAATAACCCACCCTTCCACTCTCCACGATATCCCTTTGCAGATCTTTAGAGGACAGAACCAGTGCCTTGATGGCCTGCATCAGCTCTGTGCAGGAAGCCAGGATCCTGCAGAGGGCGACAGAGAACACACCATGAACTTGCTGCAACTCTGCAGCTAATATTGGTTTCTCTGCATTTATAGCCAGTTAAAATTCCTGGGTGGGGGTGCAGAAGAGATGATGACTTGTTTTAAAGTAAGAAAAACAGCAAAAAGAAGCAATCCTTGTTGCTAAAGCACAACTGATGCATCACTTACCCCATGTCTCATTTCTAAATACTCCTTAAAACTGAACAGGATCTAGTACTGACTTTCCTAATTTTTTTTTTGGTACATATCTAAAGGCCTCCTGTTTAGCAATAGACAGACTTCTCTACAGGAAGCAAAACAAGTGGGCTCCACTGCATGTTTTATGGTGTAATAATCAGCTCACAGAGGTGCAAACACTCTGCAATGCTCTGGAAGCCACAGACCACAGAAGAAACTAATTGCCATCCTCTAATGCACAGTTGCAAAAACACTATTCATTGTCCAGCCTCTATTAGTTTTCCCCCAGGGTTCCCATGTATTTAGCTTCATCCATCTTCTCCTGGACTCTGGCCCAGCTGAAGAAAAACATATTCGATGTGAGCTTAAAGATCAGTTTCAGTCACGTCTGACTGGAACAATCTTCTAAAGATAACTGTGCCCCTACATGGACTGTGGCAAACCTCTTAGACCCACTCCCTCTGTAACGGACACTGGTCCCAGATTTAAAGCGGAGCTGTGGATCTCTGCATCTCCTCCAGAGGAACAACTGTTCTGTTGTCTTCTTCTGTGGTTAATGTATTCCTTTCTGGTCCATGACTTAGTATATTTGCTAAAACATAACCTAGCTTTAAACTTCTTAGTTTTATTTATTTTCTTTCTTCCTGTTTCACAGGAGACCTGGATTTATACAGACATTAAAACAGATGGGACTCTAAAATAACTTACTGGCACTCTAAAATAACAGCATAGATTCTAAAGCTGCATTCACACCGGACGCAGCACAAGCAGCAAAAAGGCGTCTGCTGCTTCCTTTTTGCTGCTTGTACCAGTTTAGCTCTGACGCTCGGCCCAAGCAGCTTTGCTGCTCTGGCTGCGCTGTCAAAAAGTGGGTCTGATGTACGTTGAGCGGAGCTACTTTATCCTTTCTTTGCCTTGTAGCTATGACTAGTGGGAATAAAGTAGTTTTAATATGTTTTTTTTAAGTGGGAAATCCACCTAAAAACTTAATCAGTCCAGTCAGCTCATCCAGATTACCATCCTGCCTTCCAATATTATTTCTCTGTCGGAGCCGCTCAGACCCCCACATAGCGGCGATGCGCTGTCAGTAGGAATCCCATTCAACAGCAGCCTATGGCCCGGTCGCCTCCTCGCGGTTTGCCGCGGCGGCTGGATGGTGGTTTTCATGTAAGTAATCCAAATTGCTGGCACCAGGATACTAAAAGCGAACATGTTTTGCTTGCAAGTTTCGACATTTTAAGTTAATTTAGGCGTCAATAAACAGTTTCAGAGGAGTGATCATAGCGCTCTGTATCATCAGTACTGTGTCTGTCTCCCTGCCAGCTCCCAGATCAGCTTCTCTGATTGGCTGATGAGGTGCAGCAAAAGTTAAAATTTTCCATCTCGAGCAGCAACGCGCTTGCGGTGCGTCAGATGCTTGAACGCTCCCGACGCGCTGCTTCAGCTGCTCAAAACGCACCATGGGACATTTTGCTGCGCCTTAATGCGGGCCAACTGTTGACTTTGCACATAAACTCGCTGCTCCTGCTGCGTTCGGTGTGAACACAGCATAAGTGCCTTAAGCACTAACGCGAATAAAGCATAACCTTTGAAAACCATGCAACCATATTTTAAAAGCATTGTAACAAACTAGTATGTTCCTTTGGTTTTGGGGGTAATTAATTAGAGCTTTGCTTTCTCGTGTTCATGCAGTTCCTAATGAGAGAAATGACAGCATGCTTTAAGCTTTCCTTCATTTATTTCTTTATCTAGTTTAAAAGCTTGCTGGTCTCCTTTAGCTTAATCAGATACATGTGTTCTCATATTCAACAGTTTGGCAGGGCTTTTTATTTAATTTCCTTTGTGGCCTTTTTTAACACCTAAACCAAACTGATTTTAGGTCACTGATCCATTTTCTATCCATTCAAGTTCTAATGCACCGATTTAAACAGTGATGCACTGTCAGGGTTTATTGAAGCAGTTTACTAAACAAGGATCATGCAGCCTGCTGCATGTCTAAACTACCCATGATTCATACAGTAAAGTCATAATGAAAATGAGACTTAAGATGCTTCACTCCAAAGGCCCTGATGAGTAACTTCAATTCCCAAATAGTTCTGAATATATTCAGTCTTTGGGCCTAAAGGTTACAGAATGGACTTTGCAAAGAAACATCGACTCCCGGCTGGTTCATCAACTTTGCTCTGATCTGAGATTTACCTCTCGTTGACCTCCATCTTGATTCCTGTATCAACTGCTCGGGACTTGTTCAGCATTTCCTTTAAGGCACATGGGAGAGAAAAAACAAAGACATCTATGAGGACCTACTGCTGCCTGTAGATTCTAGGGGAAGGATGCACTTGTAGTAAAGAGGCAGAAATAGTCACCTCTATCCTGGCAGCCGCGGACTCCACAGCGGCGGAAGTGGCAGCCATTTCCTGCTCCACCAGATCTCCCAGCTCCCCCTGCTGCAGCTCCAAACCCCTCGGCGCAGTTTCTGGAACAACAAAGAGAGGAGGCCTTTCTTTTTTAGAACAGTGCCTCGCTGAGCAGATTAAACACAACACCTGTCGATAAATCATATTTCCGCCCACCTCCGCTGTGGTCAGGATGTCCTCCAGCGCCGTCCGCAGCTTGTTGCCGTCGGCAGCAGCAAGGCTGTCCTGCTGCTTCATCTGTCCCAGCAGAGCCAGAGCTTCCGATCCGCACGTCTTCACGCTCTCTGACAGTGCTGCAACAAGAACAGGATGCAAGGGTCAATGTTTCAAAGAATCCAATGGAAAACACCCACTAGCTTAAGATGGCGGTATGCTAGTTTCAGGGAGTTTAATTGGAAACAGGGGCTGGTTTATCTAGTCACCCTCATATATGTGAGGGCAACAGTTTCTGAGGATTGATATTATGAAGTTTTTTTTCTCTAAATTTAGAGTCCTAAGGCTTACAACCAATGAAAAACAAAGTAATAACTTAAGAGAATTGTATCGTAAGAGCCATAAAAAGTATTTTAAACAAAGACATGTTATGTAATGGCTCTCCTTATGTCTGACACACTAAGAAAACCTGACAACTTTACAGATAATAGAAAATTCTTCCCCAATAAGAAAGAAATTCCACATTGCTTAAGAAGAAGAGGTGTCAATGGTATTATTGGAAAATTGAGTTACTGGTAAAAATATGATAAATGATGATGCATAAGTAATGGGAACAGAAGCCTGCAGATGAATGTGAAGCGTTCATAACCAGCAGCCATCTCTGTCATGTTTATAAACAAAATAAGGGCTGAAACTAACTTAGACTTTGACAACTTTTATTGTCATTTTGTGTACATAGAGTGTACAAAATGAAATTTTTGTTTAGTAGAGCTTTCCAGACAGTAAATTAACATTTCCAATCCATAAAGTGCAGCAGCGATCAAATATAAACAGTGTGGGAGAAAAAACACGATTATTAACTTACGATTATTCTGCAAATCAATTAACCCGTCGACTATTTTTTTCCCGATGAATCAATTAATAATTGGATAGACAAAGGTTCCTTAAAGAATATTTAATGAAATTAAATCAGGATAAACTAAAACTTCTGGATAGAGCATAGTGACAGACGGAAATATATATAGATGTTTGTATCTTAAATGCAAAATGTTTAGATATTTTTTTTACAATTTTGATATAACTACTGCTCTAAGTGGGTTGCTCCGTCATCTAAAAGCATGTTTTTGAATCTCTAGTCTCCAGTTAACGATGAATAAATTACTAAATTAGTTGACGATTATTTCAATAATCCATTAACATGATTAATCTGATTGTTTCAGCCCTAAACACAATGATAAAAAGACAAAAAGGAAAACTGCTCAACAACAGCTGCAAACTGATTAGAGATAAAAACGTCTACGTTCAGCTATGAACAGTTCATTCAAGCCTCATTTTCCTTAATACAAACAGTTAGCTTAGCTCATATGAAGTTCTAAATGTAGCGTTTAACATTTTGCAGCATATTTCTGTTTTCAGAACACATTAATGGCTGTTAAACTAAACTATTTAGTTTACTTAATTTACGATTTACTTCCATACAGAAAGTCCATATTCTTATCTTCAGGTAACATAGTATACATGTCAGATTAAATAATACTACTTATACTTCAGCGATAGTATACAGGTGTTACTTTATTGTATGTCTCGTTCCATGTCTGTTGGTTGTGCTGTTCTTTTTACATCTCTTTGCAGGTGATGAAGCAGACTGAAAATGTTTTATCATTATCTCCTTCTCTTTCTTTCATCTTTTCTTCTTTTTTCTGTTTTTCCTTTCCTGTTCTACCTAAATTGCAGTGTCCTATCAATCTGTAAAACTCCCTGCATAATTATAATAAAGCTATTTATATGCATAAATGAAGCGGAACACTATGGCGATAGCCCTACTGCTCCACTTGTGAAAGTAAAATCTGTTCGGCTCTCTTTGGCATCAAGACAATTATTCTTATTGCCACATTGCCAGACAGGACACTATACAAAAAAAAAAAAATACCAAAGGGAAAAGCTCTTAGTCTAAAGATGATTTGCTGTTATTAGCCACACCAGAAAGAAAACAGCACAGGAGGGATTTCCTGAACAGTAGCCAATCACAGGCAGTTTACCTTGTCAGGTGGGTTCCTCCCTCAAAACAACAGAAGGTGACTTGAGAGTAGAAAAAAAAAAAAAAAAAAAAGAGGTCCACTCGTAGGTAGGAGAGAATCTGCAGAGTTAGCATGGACTCATGCTTCTGATATACCAGGAGGTCATGGTGTTGAAACGAAATATAGAACGTACAAAACAAGTGTGGAGAGGAGGTTTACATGGATTATTTTTTTAGTTTTTACAGCACTAGTGGCTCGTCTTTACGAACAGCTGACAGAAAAGGAGGCGTGAAAGAAGGGAAGAGACACGCGGGAAAGGACCACAGGCTGCGCCCGAACCCGGATCGCCCGCACCGAGGATCAAGGCCTTTACAGATGGGACGTGTGCGCCAACCACTGCACCACCAAAGCACCCCCTATATAGATTTATTTTTTAAATAAAACTGCTTGTATGAGTATTTATTACATGTGTGCATTTTTGACCCATTTCTGACTTCATAACATGGGCTATGACTGTGGCCTTCTAAAGCTACTCCTGAACCAGAGACAACCATGGAAAACTCTAGAAACTGAGAAAAAAAAAAAAAAGAGGAAAAGGCAGCTTACTTTTTAAAAGAAAGAAAGTTTTGTATTTTACTTGGAATTAAGCTTCTATAAGCTGGAGGACGACTATCTGTGTTTGATCCCAGTCTGCTGGCTGCTAACTCCAGATCCCAGTATTTGTTTTTAGGGTGAAATCATGGCTGCTGGCCACAGAGTCATTATATTCAGGCATGTTTGGACTTGACGTCTAAAGAGAGGAAAAAGCCATTACTGGGTTACAGCATTAGTTGTTTCGCCTGAAGGCCTTTTCTCACTACCAGCTGAATCTGTGGAAAGGCATTTTGATTAACAAATGTAAAAAAAAAAAAGTTTAAAACATAATCATTCTAAATGCTTTCTCTGAGGTTTATTTCAATAATAGATTAAAAAATAATTTCTCATACATCAAAGCGCAATAAAAAAATCTATTTTAATGAAAGAAGATTTGTTTTGGAGCCTTTATTCTGCCCTTGAACCAAACAGACAAAAGTAATCAGGTATAGACCTACAGTTAGCAGAGCTTCCTCCTTCGTTACCCATCTATAGCATATAGACCTACAGTTAGCGGAGCATCCTCCTTCGTTACCCATCTATAGCATATAGACCTACAGTTAGCGGAGCTTCCTCCTTCGTTACCCATCTATAGCATATAGACCTACAGTTAGCGGAGCATCCTCCTTTGTTACCCATCTATAGCATATAGACCTACAGTTAGCGGAGCTTCCTCCTTCGTTACCCATCTATAGCATATAGACCTACAGTTAGCAGAGCATCCTCCTTCGTTACCCATCTATAGCATATAGACCTACAGTTAGCGGAGCTTCCTCCTTCGTTACCCATCTATAGCATATAGACCTACAGTTAGCAGAGCTTCCTCCTTCGTTACCCATCTATAGCATATAGACCTACAGTTAGCAGAGCATCCTCCTTCGTTACCCATCTATAGCATATAGACCTACAGTTAGCGGAGCTTCCTCCTTCGTTACCCATCTATAGCATATAGACCTACAGTTAGCGGAGCATCCTCCTTCGTTACCCATCTATAGCATATAGACCTACAGTTAGCAGAGCATCCTCCTTCGTTACCCATCTATAGCATATAGACCTACAGTTAGCGGAGCATCCTCCTTTGTTACCCATCTATAGCATATAGACCTACAGTTAGCAGAGCTTCCTCCTTCGTTACCCATCTATAGCATATAGACCTACAGTTAGCGGAGCTTCCTCCTTCGTTACCCATCTATAGCATATAGACCTACAGTTAGCAGAGCTTCCTCCTTCGTTAACCATCTATAGCATATAGACCTACAGTTAGCGGAGCATCCTCCTTCGTTACCCATCTATAGCATATAGACCTACAGTTAGCGGAGCTTCCTCCTTTGTTACCCATCTATAGCATATAGACCTACAGTTAGCGGAGCATCCTCCTTTGTTACCCATCTATAGCATATAGACCTACAGTTAGCGGAGCTTCCTCCTTCGTTACCCATCTATAGCATATAGACCTACAGTTAGCAGAGCATCCTCCTTCGTTACCCATCTATAGCATATAGACCTACAGTTAGCGGAGCTTCCTCCTTCGTTACCCATCTATAGCATATAGACCTACAGTTAGCGGAGCATCCTCCTTCGTTACCCATCTATAGCATATAGACCTACAGTTAGCGGAGCTTCCTCCTTTGTTACCCATCTATAGCATATAGACCTACAGTTAGCAGAGCTTCCTCCTTCGTTAACCATCTATAGCATATAGACCTACAGTTAGCAGAGCTTCCTCCTTCGTTAACCATCTATAGCATATAGACCTACAGTTAGCGGAGCTTCCTCCTTCGTTACCCATCTATAGCATATAGACCTACAGTTAGCGGAGCTTCCTCCTTCGTTACCCATCTATAGCATATAGACCTACAGTTAGCGGAGCATCCTCCTTTGTTACCCATCTATAGCATATAGACCTACAGTTAGCGGAGCTTCCTCCTTCGTTACCCATCTATAGCATATAGACCTACAGTTAGCGGAGCTTCCTCCTTTGTTACCCATCTATAGCATATAGACCTACAGTTAGCGGAGCTTCCTCCTTCGTTAACCATCTATAGCATATAGACCTACAGTTAGCGGAGCTTCCTCCTTTGTTACCCATCTATAGCATATAGACCTACAGTTAGCGGAGCTTCCTCCTTTGTTACCCATCTATAGCATATAGACCTACAGTTAGCGGAGCTTCCTCCTTCGTTACCCATCTATAGCATATAGACCTACAGTTAGCGGAGCTTCCTCCTTCGTTAACCATCTATAGCATATAGACCTACAGTTAGCGGAGCTTCCTCCTTCGTTACCCATCTATAGCATATAGACCTACAGTTAGCGGAGCTTCCTCCTTTGTTACCCATCTATAGCATATAGACCTACAGTTAGCGGAGCTTCCTCCTTCGTTACCCATCTATAGCATATAGACCTACAGTTAGCGGAGCATCCTCCTTTGTTACCCATCTATAGCATATAGACCTACAGTTAGCGGAGCTTCCTCCTTCGTTACCCATCTATAGCATATAGACCTACAGTTAGCGGAGCTTCCTCCTTTGTTACCCATCTATAGCATATAGACCTACAGTTAGAGGAGCATCCTCCTTTGTTACCCATCTATAGCATATAGACCTACAGTTAGCGGAGCTTCCTCCTTTGTTACCCATCTATAGCATATAGACCTACAGTTAGAGGAGCATCCTCCTTTGTTACCCATCTATAGCATATAGACCTACAGTTAGCGGAGCTTCCTCCTTTGTTACCCATCTATAGCATATAGACCTACAGTTAGCGGAGCTTCCTCCTTCGTTACCCATCTATAGCATATAGACCTACAGTTAGCGGAGCTTCCTCCTTCGTTAACCATCTATAGCATATAGACCTACAGTTAGCGGAGCATCCTCCTTCGTTACCCATCTATAGCATATAGACCTACAGTTAGCGGAGCTTCCTCCTTTGTTACCCATCTATAGCATATAGACCTACAGTTAGCAGAGCTTCCTCCTTCGTTAACCATCTATAGCATATAGACCTACAGTTAGCAGAGCTTCCTCCTTCGTTAACCATCTATAGCATATAGACCTACAGTTAGCGGAGCTTCCTCCTTCGTTACCCATCTATAGCATATAGACCTACAGTTAGCGGAGCTTCCTCCTTCGTTACCCATCTATAGCATATAGACCTACAGTTAGCGGAGCATCCTCCTTTGTTACCCATCTATAGCATATAGACCTACAGTTAGCGGAGCTTCCTCCTTCGTTACCCATCTATAGCATATAGACCTACAGTTAGCGGAGCTTCCTCCTTCGTTAACCATCTATAGCATATAGACCTACAGTTAGCGGAGCTTCCTCCTTCGTTACCCATCTATAGCATATAGACCTACAGTTAGCGGAGCTTCCTCCTTTGTTACCCATCTATAGCATATAGACCTACAGTTAGCGGAGCTTCCTCCTTCGTTACCCATCTATAGCATATAGACCTACAGTTAGCGGAGCATCCTCCTTTGTTACCCATCTATAGCATATAGACCTACAGTTAGCGGAGCTTCCTCCTTCGTTACCCATCTATAGCATATAGACCTACAGTTAGCGGAGCTTCCTCCTTTGTTACCCATCTATAGCATATAGACCTACAGTTAGAGGAGCATCCTCCTTTGTTACCCATCTATAGCATATAGACCTACAGTTAGCGGAGCTTCCTCCTTTGTTACCCATCTATAGCATATAGACCTACAGTTAGAGGAGCATCCTCCTTTGTTACCCATCTATAGCATATAGAGTATCCGTGTTACATTTACCTTCTGAATAAACAGCGTAACACGGATTAGCTCCTTACTACCTTTAAACAGCTTTTTTCTTTTTTTACTTTTTATAAATGTGCAGAGATCCAAGTCGACGTCGAAAATAAATCCAAAACTTGACTCTGCATAAATATAAAGGTTATTTATGCATAAGTATACAAGATATTTATGGAGTAGCTGTGCTGAAGAAAAAAATAGCATAAGGAATAAAGAAAAAAACATTTAAAAACAAAACAGAAATCAGTCTGTTTTCCTTTCCTCCCACATTCATCCAGACCTGGAAAAGAATTAAATTCTTATAACTATAAGTTAACTTTGGCACCATTTATTTGCCCTGCCCTTTTATTTCATCATTCTTTCTACATTTCATTTCACAAACATCCGTTACTCCAAAAACACTCCTGACATGCAGAGTTCAATCTTAATGAATTCATGTAAAGTGTGAAGAGAGCAGCTCAGACATGCCGGGGCACGCTCGCATCCACCTCACCCACAGATTAACATCAGGAGACGACGTCGGCGGCTTACATCTGCAGCTAAATCACACACACACTCACCCTCTGCTTGCTCCACAGGAACCATGTGGGAGGTGGCGCTGCCCTGAACGATGGTATCGCCCACCAGGTGGCCACACTGGGTCACCACATGCACCAGCTCCAGCACGGCTGCATCACACCAATCAGAGCAACAAAACATTTATATCTCCTAATATCACAGAAAAAAAACCCTGATATTTACATTTTTACTTTTTTTTTTTTTTTTTTACACTGTTTGATAAAAAAAAATGTTTAACTAAGAAAAAAATCACTAAGACCTGTAAGAGTAATAATATTGCATAAAATAGTAACTGAATGCAATTAAGATGAATTTTTGTAATGCCAACTCCTTTTTCCTGGCCTTAAACATAAAATATTACATTTAGAAAGTGAAATCGACATCAGTAAATGGCATGTAGCAGTTCTCACCTGTGTTGTCAGTCAAGAAAGCTTCTCTAGCTCTCTGCAAATTGTCCATAGACTCTAAAGAGGCCCGACATCTAGATGCAAGATAGTCTACAACAGAAGGACAGGGATGATGAGAGCCCGGCTACTAACGCTACATGCAGACGTAACAAGCAGCTGAGCTACATGAGGAGCTTTGCACCAATCCTGACCTGCAGAGCTGGTGCAGCTGATGTGCGCTGGATCATCTATCTGTGCTAATGAGTCCTGGATGATCTTCTCTGCCTCCTCCACCGCTCCCTGCAGACTGGACCAGCGAGCCGCTACCAGCTGACTTTCCAACGCTTGCTCCCTGCTCTCCTGCAGTTCAGGGACGTAAACGTTTCAAACAAATATCAAAGCGAAGCTTCCAGCTCATCAGAAATATTCCCAAACCTTCTCGTTGAGCTGATTCTGCAGGGCCTCGGCCGTCTTCACCCCGCTTTCCCTTTCAGTAGCCAGAGAGCTTTGGACACGCTGGAGCTCCTCCCCCTGTACTGCAAGCTCCGCCTCCACCTTCGACAAAGTTTGCACCAGCTCTGCCTTCTCGGACTCCAGGGCGACCAGCTGGGTGCTGAGCACTTCGCTTGACTGCATCCAAGAGCATGAGATCATGGAGGAGAAAAGCAACAGAGGGATGATTTTCAGACAGCAGGACAGATAACATGTTGCTGTCAGGGATGCGGTCGGACTTTTCACTAAAAACACACTTTTATCTTTAGCCACTAGTGATAACTTTGAGTTGTTGAGACTCCACAGAGGTTAGGGAAGGATGTCAAAGGAAACCTGGGGTTGTGAAACCAGTGATCATCAAGCATTTCAACGTCTCTGTAGCTACATCTGATCTTTTACAATGAAGCCTTTGAGCTTAAAATGACTGTAAACAAAGAAATAGTAAAAAGAGAAAGGCTTACACTCTGAGAGTCAGTAGGTCCGACAGAAAAAAGGGAACAAGAAACAGCAAAGTTAAATATAGAGCTTTCATCAGAAGAAGAATGAGAAGGGAGAGTAGGACGGGGGCTGGGTTAGACAGACTGTGGGGGTCAGATGGAGACAGGAGGAGAGACTGAACCCTGATAAAACACCTACAGGGATTACTGAGTGTTTCTTACACCAGTTTAGCAAAAACAACATCCTCTAATCAATGTTTTCTACTGCTGCTTCTTTTTAACTAGATAGCTGAAACAAACATCCACTTCCTTTAAACCAATTCTACAGTTACAGAAACATTCAGCTTCAAAATATAAAATATTAGTCTCAAAAGCAGAGATTATTTCTTAAAAAGTTGTTACAAATAAGAAATGATAGGTAACTTATGATGGTGATATGGATTTTTAAGAAGGGTTTAAAGCGTAATGCTGCCACTGTCTGGTCAGCTGGCTGAAAAAAAATAATAATATATAAAAATGGCACTTTTCCTCTACTTATGAGGAAAACCTTTTGTTTAGAAATGTATCCAATCAAATGAGGTAATCCTTTCCAAAAACTACAGTCAGAACCTATGTGATTTGGGAATCAAAATATTAGAATATAATATATACCGGTAATACTAGTGTATTTTTCATTTAGTACTGTATTTTCCGGGCTATTAACCACTACTTTTTCCCCATGCTTTGAACCATGCGACGTATAAGACGGTGCAGCTTTTTTTGCACTGGAAAAAAATCTAAATCCAGATAAGTAATTTTTTTTTTTTAAATAAGTGCATTTGTTCTTGGATTGAGGACATAAAATATACATTTTGCCTAAGGAACCAGACAATTTACACTTAAAATAAGAAAACATAATTGCATTGTCTTACTCCAAGTGCATATGATCTAATTATCTTATTTTAAGAGTAAAAACACTCAATCCATTGGCAAACTATCTCATTTACCAACTCAAATTAAGGATAAATACACTGAATTTAAGAACTTTTTCCAGTGTTTATTCTTCCTAACCGCCAGATGGGGAAGTTAGAAATAAATTAAGGGGCTAATTTTGATTTAGCACAAGAACAGGCTAGCAGCAGGCACCATTGCCGCAATAAAGCTGCCGAACCAATGAGGAGATTGGGCTGAACTCCCGCAGAGCTGAAATAAAGAGCTAAAGAAGCCTCATCTTTCAGTAGAAGTTCCTTCCGCTTGTCACTACCCGATTCGACCCGGAAGCGCGAACAGATATACAACCGGGTGTCCATAAATAATGTAATTATGGTACTAAAACTACCCATTTACTTTACTTAATTTACTTAACTCACCTAAGAATGCAAATACACATCTTTAAAAATTTTTTTTATGACTTCTGTGAGAGAATTTTTATGCTTTTTACATTTTCTCCATTTAACTGCTTCTCCGACGTCATCATGGGACACACTCAGGGCAGTCCGGCAAAATATGATTAAACTATGTTTATCTGCATTTTAGTTGTTTCCTTCATTAGATTACACACTATATAGCATAAGATTAAAACGAAATGAAAGAAAAAAAGCTCAAAAAGACTAGATCTATGTTTAAATCCAAAGCCGAAAAAGTTAGCCACCGGAAGTAGCGTAGGAGCAGATCGGGCAGACCAGTGATAAAACAGAAAGGATTTTAAGGCATTTAATTTATCAGGAAAAACATTGTGAACCTTAAACACATTATATTTTAGTACCTTCACTACGTTTCAGGAGAATAATGTCATTTAGAGATTTTTTTAACAAAATAAAATCGAAAACGACCCGGATGTATATCTGGATGCGTATGTGCAAAGAGGTGATGGCGCATGCGCAGAACGGATCGTGCTTTTTTCAAAACATTTAGTGGGAGCCACTTATAGTGAGGTGCGCTCTATAGTCCAGAAAATACGGTAAGTAGGATTTTTAGAGTCTCATCTTTCATTTTTAATATCATCATCCAGGCTTAAATAGTAAAAACACATTTTCCGAAGGGGTATGTATGAAAACAGCAATAAATTAGCTATGATTTTTTTTTAAATAAGTCACAATAAGTGCTGCCTTTCTTTAAAAAATAGACCCGGTTATATATTTTAGTTACAATGACTTGAAGTTGTTCTGTTTAACTTCATTATAATTCACATATGAGTCTTTGAAAACAGAGGATTTGTACAAACAAACATCAGTCTGGAAGAGTTTATGTGAAATGTTGAAGCAAATTCTTTCAATGAAGGTTTATAACCCGGATGACTCAGGTTGGTTAATTTTAATCTCTAATCCGTCGGGGAACTGACCTGCTGAGACGAGGCCATGGTGGTCTTCAGGGAGTCCAGTTCAGCCTGGGTGGAAACCAGCTCCCTCTGCAGTTCTTGGAGCTGCTTGACCTGCTCCCTCTCCTAAACCAGAGAAGTTGATGCTTAAGAATATAAAACTTTTTTTATTTGGATGACTTTGCAGCATGAGAGTTGCTCCCATCCCTACCTGTCTGTCCGCAGCCTCCTGTGCTCCCTTCACCTTCTCCTGCATCTCCCTCCGGACCTCTTCCACCTCATCCTGAGCTGCCCGCGCCACAGTCATCTGCCGGGTCACCTCTGCGTTCTGCATAAACAGCATAGGACCAATATGTAGCTTTAAAAACTGTAACAAGGACCCAAGGGGGGGATCTAAAGAGGTTCGCCACGTCCTCCTCACCTTCCTCAGCAGGTCGGCGTGACTCTGAACCAGTTCAGTGTATTTCTCCTTCAGCTTGGTGTAGCGCTGCTCGTTGGCCTGAGCTTTTTCTGGAAAAGGCAGAAAAGACCAAGAAGGATTGGAGACTGTAGCTGATGCATCATTTTATGTCTCTGTTGTAAAAGGTAAATTATATAAACTCTTTGTTTTTGTTCATTTTTAGTGCTGCAGCAGATGTTTTGGAAAATAAGCTGCTTAGACATGAAGATCAATCCAAAAAAATGACATTTAATCAGCATTTCTCTCTCCTGAGCTGCTTTGACTGCATTAACAGCTGCAGGCTGCAGACACTGAAACCTTTGTACTTGTCTGCAAGTTATCTCAAGCTCAAAATAGATGTAACATTTGACAAACAGTTATCAAACTTAGCTACAGTTTTTCTTGTTTTTTAACTGTGGTTGCATCTGGACTTTGACTAGGCTGTTTTAAGAAATTATCATAGATTGAAGGAAAACTTTGTCTTTAAACAACTTCACTTCTCCTCAACCCCTTTTTATTAGTATATTCTTATTTGTTGGCCTTTTTATGTTCATCTGTTTGTTGATACTAGCTACATTTCTTTGTACTGTTGAACCATTAGCAAAAGAATAAAAAACAAACATAAACATTACTTTAGAACTCAAGCCATTTTCTGACCAGCTTCCTTGTCCTTTCTCAATTAAAGCCTCCCCATATCATGATGCTACCATCTTCTTAGTTGGAGCATAAACAGGGTAAGATCCAGACACATGGTCCGCCTTTCAATCTTTTAAATTATAACATTTAAAAACCTTGCCTGGCTTCCATTTTAGAGCTACAGACCTCATTGTTTGAATGAATATTTAAACTAGGTAGGCAAACAAATAAAAAAAAAAAAAAAAAAAAGTTATCATAGCTGAGAGAATTATAAGCAAAAAAATGACCCGGTGGTTAAATATGATTTAGCCAATCATCTAGTGAGAACTGGAAAAGTCAAAAAGAAATCTTTTAAGGACAAAAATAAAAAGATCTACAGAGAGAGCATATGGTAAGCCATTGGCTCTTCAGTCCAAAATAAAACCAGCAGCATCAGAAATTATCTAAGGTGCCGCTGTGTATAAATAAAATGCTGCCTCACTCTCAATCTCCGTCAGGCTCCGCTGCTCTTTCTCCGTGTCCTCCCTGGCCCTCCGCAGGTCATCCAGCTCCGCCTTCAGGAACTCGCTCTCCCCTACGGCCTGCAGCCTCAGGTGGCTCTGCTCGGCGAGCTCCGCTTCAAGCTCGTTGACCCGCCCCCTCAGAGCCTGACACAGCCGGCCGCTCTGCAGACAGAGCAGACAGCCCTCAGGGTAGAAAAACAACAGAGACCAGCAGAAATAAGAGGATTTCTTATTCCTCTCATCTTTACCTCCAGCCTAAAAGACTCCAGCTCCTCCTTGAGGGCCTGGATCTCCCTGGTCAGCTGCTCGATCAGACGGTCTCTGAAGAACAAACACAGATTAAAGAATTAAAAGCCATTTTCAAGGTTGTTGCAAACTATTAACCCTCTGTTCATGCCTTACACAACTCAAATATTTAGCTGTGCTGCTGCCATCAACGCCTTTGTTTATACATGTTCGAGATCGGCCTGTTTTCCAGTGTAGTCCTGTTTCTCTGACTGTGACAACCTGGAAGTGCTCTCTTCATCCTCTGACATGGGAGTTGGCTTGAAGCTCGACTGCCTGGCAGTGTGTTTCCTGGACCGGGCCGCCTTTTACAGTTGCTTTTTTTTAATCTCTGCTTCTGTCTCCTTGAACCGCAGTCGGCCTCGGCAGATGGACGCTCACACTGAGCCTGGTTCTGCTAGAGGTTTCTTCCTGTTAAAAGGGAGACTTTCCTCTCCACTGTCGCTACAAGCATGCTTAGTGTGAGGGATTGCATTTGAGTCAATGAGTCGATGCAATCAACTGGTTTTCCTTCGATAGAAAACTTTGAATCAGTTTGACTGTATGATCTGGTGAACTGTAAAGTGCCTTGAGGTGACGTGTTGTGAAATGGCGCAATAGAAATAAACTGAATTGAATTAATATTAAAACATTCAAGATTTTAGAGTATCAAACCCCTTTTATTGGGCTTT